AGCTAACTTTAGGCAAACCAGCAGCACAACAAATATTTTCAAATAAGACTCACAAACCTGGGTCAACACCAGTCTCATCAAAGCTGGGGTTCTGTCGTCGTACTTTTGGTCTAAAAAATGTCCTTATGTCCATCTTCACTCATGCGTTTCAGACAGAGTGTAGAAGAAGCCGGCTGCTGAAGGGCTTCTTCTTCAGTGGTGGAGGCTCAGGCAGGCTGTATACAAACTACTGCCAGCTGCTCCCTCTCTGTTGGACTTTGGTACTGCATGTTACTTCCGCGATTTAGATCCGGGGATTTTAATGAAACATCCGGGGCTTCAGCCCAAGTAGCCGGGCCTAACGTCACCCCTGGGCAGAGGCCAGCCCTTTGACGCCGCAGTCTCTCCCCAGGAGTTAGCCGGGCACGTCGGATTTGCATTGGTTCAGCCTCTGCGATCTGAGGAAGAGGTTTAGCTGCAGTTCTGATATGTAGTTCAGGGATGGGAGTTGGGGGCTGGTGCTGGGAGGCATCACGTCTGCCTTTAAGGCGTTTCTCAATGTGGGTGGCTAGGGAAATGAGGTTTTCAAGGTTCTCAGAATCCTGACAAAATGCTAACTGGCCCTGAATGTTATCTGACTGCTTGTGAAAAGGCGGCTCTAAGAGAAGCGTCATCAAGGGAGGATATGGAGGCTAATGTTCTAAATTCTATGGCAAATTCTGGTACAGTAAGATTGTCCTGTCGTAAGCTCCAAATCCGTTTGGCTAATTCAGCGGGATTGTCAGGGGTGTCAAAGATCTGATTAAATTCAGCTAAAAAATCCGTGAGTGGTCCGAGTAGAAAACTAGGTTGGCGACTCCTAGCCTCGGCCCATGATAACGCCTTACCGCGAATCAAACCCACAATAAAGGAGATTTTTATGGAATCATCAGTGAAAGTATCAGGCGATCTCTTAAATGCCAGGTCACATAATAGCAGAAAATTCCGGCATTGGCCGGGCTCACCCGAGAAGTTTCTGGAGTTGGTGAGTCTGCGACCCAGAAATGACCTGGCGGTGGTAGAACCAGAAGTGATGGCGGAGACTGAACAGCGGGAGGACGAGTGTGAGGGAGAGAAGAGTTTAACTGCGTGCATAACTGGTGATTATCGGCTTCGAGTTGGAGTAAACGTTGGTTAGAGAGGGTTAACTGTTCGAGTAACGACTGAATGGATCTTTCATGCTGGGTTAAAGTGTTGACTAACAACGGAGGGAGGGATTCAGTCATGGGATTTGTCTTTTGGTCTGTTGATTCTGTCATGATGGGTCATGATGGGTCTTTTAACCTACATGAAAGGATCACACGCGGAGAGAGGTGAGTAAAAATATAAAGGTTTTATTATAAAGAAAATTAATAAGAACGAAAATTGCTGAGCCAAACGGGGGGGGGGGGGGGGGGGGGGGTCCGATTCTAAAACAGAAGATAGCTAAATGAATACTGAGAACCAAGAAAACACTGGAGTAATGGTGGCGGAGTCTTACTGTGTGAAGTGGGGTTCTGAGCTGGAGAGGGAGGCAAGTCAGGTCTGAGCTGGAGATGGTCTGGTGGAGAGGAGTAGCAGGCAGGAGTAATCCAGGACAGGTGAGAGGTGGAGAGCGGGAGACCAGAGGAGCTGAGCGGCGTTGGGAAATAAATCCACTTCAGACAGCAGGAAGCTGAGGTAAGAATCCAGGGCTGGTACTGGAGCAGACAAGGAGAATAAAAACTGAGCACAGGGGAGGAAAAACACGAGGCTAGATCCAAACAGAAACGAGGAGAGCAAGAGTACCCAACAATAGAGTATCAACCGGCGCTGAAGTGTGGCAACACCGCTCCTTATATCCTCTGGCCTGGCTGAATGGTAATCAGCTGCGGCTCTCCAACCTGCTCACCTGCAAACACTTAAGAGCACAGCAGCAGAGAAAAGCAGAGCCATGACACAGAGCCATGCGACTTCAGCGCTAGCACTGGGAGCTAGCTCCAGGGAAAGGCCTCAGCCTAGGCCTCACATAAATAGATGTTCGGCCATTTCGACTCTCTAAACTTCGCTGTGCCCTCTGTGTGTTCGTGTTTGGATGTGTAGAGTCGGAGAAGTCATTTGTCCACAGCCTGCCTCAGCAATATCAGAGGTCAACAGACACTCAAGTGTCCAGCAGGTTTCTTCTGGCAGGAATGCTGTGTGCTCCCTCATACCAAAACACGATCCTGTTTAACTTTTAACTTCATCAGAAGAATCTCCCACGTTTACATGGAGCTGCAAACTCAAGGTCTCAAGGAGACTCTTTTCTCTTCTAATAAAATTATTCTAATTCTGTTTCATAAGATGATTTCTTTACAGGTTAAGAACATTTAAATGAAACAATGAATGTTTTATCTAAGGTGTTTTAATGATGTCTTAACTGCATCACAGTAATGAATGAATCATCATAGATGTTTATTATTTCATGACTTATTTCAGATCTTAAATACACCAAATGAGTCTACTTGTAGAATTTAATAATGATTTATTATCAGTATATTATACACATTATTATTACTATATTAACAAATCACAGTTTAATAGATTTACTTCACATTAAGTGAAAGAGGCCTCTTCTAAGTTTGAGAAGGGAGTGGTGTCCGAGGATCTTGGTAAACGCCCATTTCACACATTAGATTCTGATTTTTCTAAATCTATAAACAACAATTAATATAAGAAGGGACACCTCTTTTAAAAGTCTCTTCCAGCCAGCTGCCTAGTTCGGCCATCTGGGTCAGTAAACATATGAACCATCCTTTTCAATGTCAGACTTTCTTTGCAAAACTGCATCAGAGAAACAACTCTTCAGACGTGAAACGTCTCACCAGCAGACCCAGAGGTTATCTCTGACCAGCTGATGCAGATTCAGAGGAATACGGCCTTTGACATCTACGTAGAAGTCAAACTTCTCACATGCCGAGAATACTTTGTGGCCAGCAGGATCGCTGAGAAGCCTCATCACAAGGGTACCATAAAACACACCTGCTGCTGGATGGTTTGAGTAATTTGATCATTTGTTAACCTAAGTAAACATTCATCTAGACTTATTTTACAACCCAGACATCACAATTTTCTAAAACACTTAATTAGGTTTTTTAAATAACATCTAAGCTCATATTTCATCCTCGCTCATTCAGTCCACTGTCATGGTCTGCGTCTGCCCCTTCCTTATGTGCCTCCTGATGTTTTTCCATCCCTCTCTTGATTCCCTTCTGTGTCTCATAGCGCCCTCATGTGTCCTTTGTCTGCGTCTATTATGTGTCTTATGTTTGTAGCCCTTTTAAGTCAATTCCTCCCAGGTCCTGTGTCATTCTTTCATTCCCAGCCCTCCAGGTCTTCCTTCACGTTCTGTAGCTCCAGCCTCTTTGCCCCCTGCTCAGTGTTTTTGTGTGTGTGTGTGTGTATGTCCTTCCCTCAGTCTTAGGTTTAGTTTTATGTTTTATGTTTATCTGCCCTCCACTGGTTCTGTTTTCCCCATTTAGATAATTTGTCACCTGCCTTCCCTCCAGCCCTCACTCCACACACCTGCTTCCTGTTTCCTTAATTGTTCTCCATGTGTAAAGCCTTGTCTTGTCACTCTGTGGTTGTTGGTTCATTGTCTTAGGTCAGCATTGTTTCGTCTCTAGTCTTTAGGTCTCTGCTCAGAAGGTGAGCTTTTGGTTTTTTGGTCTGAGTTTAGTTATTAGGTTCTGGCTTTCTCCCCTTGGATTTTTGGTTATCTTCCTAAATAAAGGATTTTTACTTTTCAACCGCTCCTACCTGTGTGTTCTGGATTTCCTGCACCTTGGGGCCAAACCTCCTGCTCTCAACGTGACAACCTCATCATTTATAATCATTTGTTCTGCATCATCATTGTACTAGAAATATAGAAATAAATATTTTTATAAACTATATAATTTTTGCCTCTGTGTCAAATTATTATAAAGTGTTGTTTCCCTGGTACTACCCAAAGTACCTAGATTCATCATCAATCAAATACCAAAGATTAGATAGTATTGATAATCCATATTCTTATGTGATATTACATATTATTGAATACCTTTATATTCTATTGTCAGTTTCTTAAAGGTAACCACCTACAACACGTTACAGATGTTAATTGTGGGATTATTTGGACAAAGTGTGCTAGCTGTGATTATTGACTGCAGATCAAACAGATCGGAGCTCAGGAACAGATCATCTAAGCAGTTTCTAAAACAATACCAACACAACACACATAATATAAACAACTTTTTAAAAAAGCAGCTTATAAAGAGATTATTTGCCTGAAAAACCAGCATGTTTACCTTTTCCGGCTTAAACCTTGGACGTTGTGGACCGACTACTGAAAACCTATTTCGATGAGCTTGGGGCACCGACATACGGGTACTTTGGGGCTATTCACGACATCTAGGGAAGGCTGGCTGCTTATTTCCACCAGAAAAGTGTGTTGTTGTCTCTTTTAATAACATATTCTAGACAGAAGTCTGCTATTTCTGCTACAGCTCGCTCCTCTGCTGTTCTGACGAGGCGTGCAGCTTTTGTTGTCTTCTTTTGTTTGCACAAATGACCTCATCACTGTTTACTGGCTCTCCTTTGAAGTTAACTTCAAATCTGACATACTCCTAGTCTGCAGAAGTTGTGTTCTTCTTAGATACCAAGTCAGCTGGTGCGTCAGCTGCCTTTTTTTTCTCGGTGAGCCGTCTCATTGCTGTCAAGCGATGACATCACGTTCATAAACTATGGAACGTCTCAAAAGTTTGGAAAAAACATGTCAACCTATTTAAGAAAAACTGAAATACAAATACAACCACGCATCAGCAACATTAAATGTCCTTCATCTATCTTTTATTTTTTATGACGGTATTGGAATTGACACCTTGCTACTTTTTAACACCAGCTGTACACGGTAATACTGTAATACTGCCCAAGCCTAGTTCACTGTTGACTAAAATAAAATATAAAAAAAGGCCTTTTGTTTGATTGTGTTCAAATTTGGATTCCAGATCTATCGACGTTGTTGGCTTGTGTTGAAAAAGTCATCCAGTAAAGGACCTTGTCGTCTGGAGAAATACCCTGATGAGAAGGCTGCCTTCATCAGAACATGTCCTAAAGTAAGTATTACGTATTACGCTCTGAGACTGTACCTTTTGTAACTAGAGTATTCATTAAATAAATGTGGCTTTTACTGCTTACTACTACTTAGGTGTTCAGAACTATATAGTTACCTTAAGTTCCAGATCCTGCCTGATGGCACAGTTGGTACTTGCAGTGAGATGGTTGCGGGTTCAAATCCTAGCTCCAGTGTTTTTGTTCTCCCCATTTATGTGTGGAGTATTCCTCTGAATCTGCATCATTTAGACAATTCAATTCAACTCAACTCAGGCTTTAATTGTATAGCGCCTTACAAGCATGAAACAGGGCACCAAAATGCTTCCCATTAATATAAAATTCAGTAAAAACATAAAACCAACATAAAACTGGAGTAATATAATAAAACTTACAAACATTAGGAAAGGCTAAGCCGTAAAGGTAGGGATTCAGCCTTGAAAATCTACCACTGAGGTAGAAGCCCTTATGGATAGAGGAAGCTCTTTCCAAAGTTTTGGGCCTGCCACTGAAAAGCCTCTATTTCATCTTGTCTTCAGATAGGATCTAGGGAATGAAGTGTCTGGGTTAGGGTTAGGCAGGCAGATGGTCCTTCAAGTTTTGCAAGCACTGTTCGTTAGTACAAGCCGGAGCAGCACTGGACTCAGTGGCAGGTGAAGCGGCAGGGTCATCTGTCTACCCATCATCATTTCAAATCGAGAGACACCTGTAGACTCAAGAGGAGTGGCCTGTATGGCCGTCAGGACCAACGGAAGCTTCACATCTCAGCCTCTGATTAGAGGACACACATTTCTTTAAAATACAGACAACCGTTCGATTCATTTTTTCAACTTGACCAGAAGCCTGGGGCCGTTAACCAATGTGGGAATTGGCCTTCACCCCTAACATCTGCCAAAGGTGGTCCATAACCTCAGAGGTTAACATGTGTGGGGAGACCGAACCAGGAGATGATGTGAATCATCAAAAGGATGGCGGTTGTTGGCGCAGTGTCATTAGGTGTTAGGTATTTTTTTCTGTAATGCCTTTGATGATAAGGAAGAGGTATCACTGGTTTGGTTCTTGTCTTTCTGGTTCTTTGTTTAGATTGTTACTTTCTTTCTGTTGTTGTTTTCCTTTGTTTAGTGATATGCAACGTTCAATGTAAACTGCAATAAAACATACACAGGAGAAACCGGATGTCAAGTCAATACACAAACGATAGAACATAGAAAAGAGTGTGAAAAAGAAGCAAGCCGAAGACACACGAGCAGCGAAACCAGAAGCAGAAAGTACAATAAAGAAATCTGCTGAAAACCAAGAGAAAACCATATATAAACAACAACAACAACAACAATAATAATAATAATAATAATGATAATAATAATACATTTGATTTGTAAGTGCCTTTTAGACCCTCAAGGTCGCTGAACAATAGAATTAAAAGCAGTACACAAATTGTACAAGCAGTGCAAAATTAATCAGACAATAAAAACTAACACAACAAAAGCATCAATAGAACAGTGCTGAAATAATAGAATTTAGCACTGACAAACACATAAAAAGATCAAATCACCTAGAGTGCACCATACACCTGCCTAAATATGTGGGTTTTGAGAAGAGATTTTTTTGTTACTTTTTATTTTGAGTCTGACATTGTACAACTTGGTTTAACAACCCTGACGTTGAGCAGGACAATCACAAACGCAAAAAGAAACAAACAAATTAATTAATTAATTAAATTTTAAATAAATAAAGGAGAAAAAAATTCTATAAAGAATAGAAATGCAATCATTCAGTTTCATCGCTAAGATTAAGTTTTCCACATTGACATCAAAGTAGACAACAGGCAAAACAACAACCTAATACCTCACATTACTAAGTATTGCTCGACACACTCCCATCTATCCTGGAACCGATCCACCTTCATTTGCAGTATAGACGTCATCTTTTCCATTGCGTATATTTGTTTAATTCTCTCTTTCCATTCCTTTATAGTTGGGGAGTTCACCTCCTTCCATTTTACTGTTATAATTTTCTTTGCAGCCAATAATAGAATATGGGCAATATATCTTTGGTCTAAGTTTAATATTTTGTTTGATGTAGTCCCCAACAGATAGAACAAAGGATGTGAAGGTAACTCCCTTCCCAGAATTTTTTCCAACTCTTCCTTTATGTCTTTCCAATATTTAAGAATAACTGGACAGTTCCAGAATATATGAGAGTGGTCCCCCACCTCCCCACAGTTCCTCCAGCAAAGTGGGGACAGGTCATCTTTTGCAAACCCTGGGGGGTAAAAAAGTGCCTAGTTTTTATCTGCCAATCAAATTCCTTCCACACTTGGCTGTTGATCCCCCTATGAGTTTGTCTACATATATCTTCCCACTGTTCATCTTCAATTAGTATATGTAATTCTAGTTCCCATTTCTCCTTTATATATTTCTTATTATGTGTAGAGCCAAGAAAGAAGCTTCTATATAGATTAGTAACATAGCCTTTTACTTGGGATTTTTTTCCTATGCGTATAATAAAATATTGTTCTATTGCATTTGGCTGTTTATAAAGTCTTTCTTTCTCTCTATGATTCATGATATAATGCCTTATCTGAAAATATTTATACATGTCGTTCATGGGGAGATTGAATTGTTCTCTAATCTGCGAGAATGTTTTAAGCTCTGTTTCTCCAAACAACTGGTCCAGAATAATAAGACCCTTATTCGCCCATTTTTTAAACCCTGAGTCTAATTTGGATGGGGGGAACCCGATGCTATCCAGTATTGGCATGGCCCGGGAAATAGAACCCTTGTCATTCAGCATTTTCTTTATTCCCCTCCAAACCCTCAGAGTATGTTTTATGATTATGTTGTCTATTTTTTATTTCTGGATATCTTTTGGGTTAAAGGAATTGTAAAACTGTCAGTTCAGTTGTTCAGAGCATCTCTGGTTGCTTATCAGGATGCTGTGAGGGCTGCCAGAACGGCCTATTTTGCAGACATCATCGAAACACACTCCAAGAATCCCAGGATTCTCTACAAAACAATAAACTCTGTTCTGGTGTATCAAGAGCCTAGCTGTCTCCTACAGCTGCTGGAAACTCTGAAGCTTTTCACAGATTCTTTGTTGATAAAGTATCGGGAATTAGAGCAGCTATTTCCGGTAACTTTATTGACACTGTTCCACTTCCTCCATCACCACCCACCCTCAGCTCCCTCAATACTGTTTCATACTCTGAGCTGAGTAAGCTTGTTGCGAGACAGAAGCCATCTGGCTCTCCACTTGACGTTCTGCCGCCTCGCCTCTGGAAGGCTGCCTTTCCGTGCCCTGGCCCATCACTTGGTCAGATTATCAATGGGAGCCTCAGCACAGGTGTGGTCCCAGCTGCTTTGAAAGCAGCAGTTATTCGGCCGACCCTGAAGAAACCTGGTGCTGATGTCACTGTGATCACAAATTACAGGCCTATCTCTACCCTGCCTTTTACATCAAAACTGCTTGAGAAAGTCGTTTATCAGCAGCTGGTCTCACATTTAGCTGGCTCTGATCTGTTTGAGGTTTTCCAATCAGGGTTCAGGTCTGGCCATAGCACAGAGTCAGCTCTACTGAGGGTCTTAAATGACATCTATCTTTCACTAGATCAGGGTACATCTGTGGTGCTTCTGTTGTTAGATTTGACGGCAGCCTTCGACACAGTTGACCATGCGATTCTACTCGATCGCTTGGAACTATGGGTTGGGATCAAAGGGTCTGCTCTGAATTGGTTTAGATCATATCTCCACAGCAGGACATTCTGCGTTAAACTGGGTGATGTTTTTTCTTCTTGGGAGGGGCTCCGATGGGGGGTCCCACAGGGATCGATCCTTGGTCCTCTTTTGTTTGCCATTTATCTGCTACCTCTGGGGTCAATCTTTCGTAAACATGGCATGTCATTCCATCTCTATGCTGACGATTGCAAGATTTACTCTCTGTTGTGTCAGGACAAAGGTCACTCTATCCAGTCCTTTGTGCCCTGTATTAATGAGATGAAGTCTTGGCTAATGGCCAACTATCTGTGTCTGAATGAGGGAAAGACAGAGCTCATTGTTTTTCACCCCAACAGCAGGAATGTGGGTCATTATGTAGATCTTGGCCCTCTTTCTCCCTACTCAAACCAGTTGTTACCAGTTTGGGAGTGAAAATTGATGCTGGACTTAAATCTGAGGCTCACATCAACTCAGTGATCCGGTCCAGTTTTTTTCACCTGAAACGCCTTGCAAATATCAAGCATATGCTGTCGAGAGCCCACCTGGAGCGGGTACTGCATGCCTTTGTTATTTCTAGGCTTGATTACTGCAACTCTCTTTATTCAGGGTTGTGTCAGTCATCACTGCGTCACCTACAGGTTGTGCAGAACAGCGCAGTAAGGTTCCTGACTGGGACCAGGAAACGGGACCACATCAGTCCGATTCTGGCCTCCCTGCACTGGCTTCCGGTTTGCTATCATGCACAATTCAAAATCCTTGTCTTTGTTTACAATTTCTTCCAAGGTGGTGCTCCCCCCAATCTAGCCACACTCCTGAACAAACATTCCCCATCATGCGCTCTGCGCTCCTCTGAACAAGGCCTGCTCGCTGTCCCTCGTTCTAGGTGTCGTACTCGCGGGGACCGGGCTTTCTCAGTCCTAGCACCGTCTCTCTGGAACCAGTTGCCACCCTCAGTTAGGCTGTCCCCATCTCTGCCAGCCTTTAAGAGTTGCCTAAAAACACACCTTCTCCGCTTGGCGTTTCCTGAACATGTTTGATTCGGCCCTCTTTTATGTTGAATTTTGTTGGGTATTTTTATAATTGTACCTTTTTGAGGCCTAAAAGATGGCCAACTGTTGCTGTTCATGAAAGGTAGAGCAAAGATGTTGAGAAAACTCTGTACCTCTGTAACTTGAGAAGGTCCGCCTTCTCCCCCCACCCTTTGCTTGAATAAAACCACTGAAGACTCTGGGGACTGGGGGAGTTGCCTGGCACCATAGCTCTGGAGAGAGTTATGTGTCATTTCGGTGATCTCCCCCTCATTTGGCTGATTCAGTATAAAATGTCTTCCTTGTTGTCATGAGTGTTTATTTCAGGTTCCAGGGTTATGGAGGTTAAATATTATCTAACAGATAATTGGAGAATGCAGGTATACAGAGCAGGTGAGGAGAAAGCTTTGAGGCTGGAGCAGAGTGGGGGCTGGTTGAGCCACACACATGGACATGGGGGCTGGTTGAGTCATGCACATGGACATTACAAATAATCAATTTACTCTCTCTCTCTCTATCAAAGGGTGTGTCGTCCTTTAAGGTAATATGGGATAAAATCAAATTACCTATCAAATGGTGGAGGATGCAGGCAGCGCAGAGCCTAGCGATGGAAGATCGTCTCCAGGGAGCCGTGCGGCGCCATTTCTTCATTGAAAGTCCGGGGGACTGCAAATTGTCTCATCGGCTGGCTAAATATAGCTCTGCAGACGAACTTTTATCAACAGGCTCTCGCGCTCGGACCCCAGGACGGAATTACCACGCGGAGGGGAGTAAGTTAATTCATTAATTCATTAAGTTAATTCATTAATTCATTTTGCGTCTGTTTCTTTAACCACTGGCAGTGTGGTTTGAGTTGATTGAGGTGGGCCAGTTGCGGCCGTGTGTGTGTGAACTTGTGTGAGAGTTTGGTTGATGACTGGAAAAAGACGGGAGACGATGGATCAGCTCTGGTGGAAAAGCTCCGGAGAGCAGACGGCCAGCTGAATAGCACGCTGGGTGAGTAAAAATTAATTGCACCTTTTTCCTAATAACTGGACGACAGTGATTTTACGCTGGAAGTGATGTTTGCAATCCACGCATGAAAGACGTTTCGTGCCCCGGCTGAGAAGCTGGTCTGAGAGCTGCTGGACCTTGTCCTGCACTCCGTTACCTCAGTTAAAGCATTGCGTTAAAGCAGCCAACCGCAGTTTGGCACAGACACACACCCCTTTTTGCAGTTGCCGGCAGGTGGGCTGTTTAGTTCTGTCTACATGGAAGTGCATTGAGATGTTTTCGCAGCGAGTCCCGGACTGCGCACCCCGCTCGTTTTGGGTTTACTGAACATGTATGTGAAATGTATACTGGCTTGGCAGCATGCCTGCGGCACTGGGGGAGAAGTGGTGAGGTGTAGCCACGGTAAGCGGATAGTAATCTGAGAGAGGAGAGGCGAACGGAGGGAGGTTGTAATCCAGTCTTTTGTCTGCGTACATAAGACATCCCACGACGGAATGTGGGTCGTAATAGGGTTGGATTATGCAAAATCACTTATGTAAACTCATTGTTTTTAGGTGCTACAAAAATACTCCAAATTAATCACCGTTATTTGGCTTTAAGATCTCAAGTTGGTCTAATTTCCCAGTCTGTTATGTGTGACATGGGGCTGCGTTCCATTTTTGTGGGTGGACGTGCCGGTTTCCCTGTTTTGGTTTAAAATTGACGCTGAGGACTGGCATGTTAATTTCTGACAGAGTTTTGCTCCGTCTGTGTGTGAGTAAAGGTTTTTGGGCCTAACCGGATCTGGTCTGATCTGGGGGGTTGTGTGTGTCAAAGTTCTGAATGTGCGTGAGTGAAAGCCTGCAGGTTTCTGTTTGTGTGTGTGTGAGAGAGAAGTTTTGGGCCAAGGTTCTGAAGGTCCCATTACATGACAATGTGTGTGACTGAGGTTTCTGTGTGACACCTGCTGATTCTAGGTTCTGTGTTGTCCCGGTCGGTCCTGGTCTGTTCTGTTCTTTCTGTTTGTCTGTGTGTGTGTGTGTGTGTGTGTGTGTGTGTGTGTGTGTGTGTGTGTGTGTGTGTGTGTGTGTGTGTGTGTGTGTGTGTGTGTGTGTGTGTGTGGATAGAGGAACAAAGGAAGAAAGGGTAAGAAGTGAAGAGTGGGGGCTGGTTGAGTCATGCACATGGACATTACAAATAATCAATTTACTCTCTCTCTCTCTCTCTCTCTCTCTCTATCAAAGGGTGTGTCGTCCTTTAAGGTAATATGGGATAAAATCAAATTACCTATCAAATTTCTTTCACAGTTTTCATTGGTTTACTCTATCCCTTGTTTTACCCATCTGTCCTGTACTAGAATGTTTCACCTTTCTTTGTAATTTGTATTTTGTAATTTGAATTGCTTTTATTTCTGAATTGCTTTTATTTTTGATTTGTACTTCTACTGTACCATGTTCAGCGCCTTGGGCTTCCTGACAGGGTTGCGGAAGGCGCTTTATAAATAAAGCTTTGATTGATTGATTGATTGATTGAGTTCCGTACCTTTAATTTCGCCTTGTTCTATCTGGTTCCATATTAGGTCCCTATCTCCCTCCAGCCAGTGAACTATCGCTGTTAATTGGGCTGCCCAGTAATAATATTTCAAATTAGGCACTGCTAGTCCCCCTTTCTCTTTCGGCAGCTGAAGTGTCTTAAGCCTTACCCTTGGTTTTTTATGTTGCCATATAAATTGAGAGATCATTTTGTTCAGAGTCTTAAATATTGGAGCGGGGATTCTTATGGGAAGGGATTGGAACAAAAAGAGAAAGCGTGGTAGAACATTCATCTTAATTGTCTCAATTCTGCCAAATAGAGATAGAGGGAGAATCATCCATCGGGTCAGGTCAGCCTTGACCTGTTTGATTAGTCTGGTGCAATTTGCTTTGAACAGAGCTGTAGGTTGGGGTGTCAGCACTATCCCTAGGTATCTAAGCCCTTTATCAGTCCTATGAAAGGATACAGTTTTATTTAGTTCTTTTGGCCAGTCCCCCATAACCATCATTACTTCTGATTTATTTTTGATTAATTTTATATCCTGAGATTTCTGCATATGTATCTAGATTGTTAAGCAATGCTGGTACTGATATTTTTGGATTTTTTATAAAAAGTAAAATATCATCTGCAAATAAAGCAATTTTATGGACTGTCCCTTCTCCATCTCTTATTCCCTGAATCAACTTGTTCTGGCGGATTATCTCTGCCAGTGGTTCAATACTCAAGGCAAAAAGTACAGGTGATAAGGAATCTCCCTGCCTCACCCCTCTTTCTAGCTTAAAAAATGTTGAACAATAACCATTTATTCTTACTGTTGATTTTGGGTTTTTATATAAAACATTGAACCAATCTACAAACTTTTCCCCAAAGCCCATTTCCAAAAGAGTATATTTTAAAAAGGTCCAGTCTACTCGGTCGAAGGCCTTCTCTGCATCTAAGCTCAGGAGCATGGATGTCTGCTTATCTTTCTTCATTATTGACTGTAGGTTTAAAGCTCTCCTCACATTATTTGTGCCTTGACGTCCTAAAATAAAACTAGTCTGGTCTGGTTTAATTAATTTCTTTATATGTATCTGTATTCTAGATGCTAGTATTGATGTCAGTATTTTATAGTCTACACAGAGCAGGCTTATAGGGCGATAGCTGGGGCATTGGAGAGGGTCTTTCCCTTCCTTGTGCAGAACTGTAATAATCACTTCTTTCCATGAATCGGGAGGATTCCCTGAGTCTAATACATAATTATATAGTTTACATAATATAGGGGTAAGTTCGGTAATAAAGGTTTTATAGTATTCCCCTGCAAAACCATCCGTGCCTGGCGAACTATTATTTTTAAGTTTATTAATACTAAAGTGTTGTACAGAGGTGGTCAAGCGAATTGAGGATGGGAGTTTATTCCAAAGCTGAGGAACTTGAGAGCTGAAGGACCGAAGACCTATAGATGACAAGCGAACTTGTGGTATAGTCAGTGTGTTGCTGGTAGAACGAAGAGTGCGCAGTGAGGTATAAGGCAGAAGAATGTTTGTTAGGAAGGGGGTGCAAGAGTATTCAGGGCTTTAAAGGAGACATAACATGCTTTTAAGTTATTCCTTTTTACATCTAAGTCATTCAGTTGGGGTCTAAACACAGTGGAACTGCAGTTCTTTGGTCTGATTTCCTCATTATTGTTGCTCTACAGACCCTCATCTACCCCTGTTCTGAGGAGAGTCTGAGAATGAGCCGTTTTGGGTACTGTCTCTTTAAACTGGAGAAGGAGCTGGAAACTCCCCCCCCCCCCCCCCCCCCCCTCCACAGAGCAGGCCTTACTCTCCTCCCCCAGTCGGACTTTTAGTTCTACAGAGAAATCATTATTTAGCGTAGCAGAAACGTTATATTAGCATTTTTTTAAAGTGTGGGGAGAGTTGTTCATCAGGCTGTTTCAAGGCTAACTCTCTCATGCATTTGTCTGCAGTCACACACTGATACAGCTCATTAAAACACCATTAAAAGAATACATTTTATTAATACCCCTCTCATATATATATATATATAATTTTATAAGTAGTCATATTATATATTGGGTGTCTTAATGGCTGAAAATGGATAAAAAGCAGTTACATTTTAATTTAAAGATTTGAGGTTCTAGTGACAAATAAAGAACATTTCTCCAAATGTTCTTTAATGTGATCATTATAATTCTAATGCTTACAACTTTACGTTTTCATTGTCTGCAATGCGTAGCCTATATCTTTATTAAATGTGTTTTTAGCTGTAAAGTGGTAATTCTCTCTAATGTGTACACAGAGGTGGACATCAGTGCTGCAGTGAAATTCCCAAGATCAGTCTGCTTTGCTAACAAATATAGTTAAATCTTACCTGCATTCTAAATAAATACCGTTAGGTGAAAACATCAGTAGGCATTGAGTTATTGATAAAATCCCTAACAGCCAGAATGGAAGAAGAGCATGCTGGGTCTTCCTGGATCTGAGCCTGTTCTGTGTATTTACCTACAGGATGCAATAAATGTCTACAAGGCTGAGTTTGGACCATTACATCTAAAAGAAAACATACAATCAGTGATTTTTTAAATTGCTTACATTAATATACAAATTTTCTAAGTATTAACCTCACAGCAAATAAGTAGAACAATATAATAAACAGGCTTTAGTAGTTAAACAGGCGTTGTGCACACAGGTGCTTTGTGTCTCGGTGCTGTGGTGTCTAGGTCTCAGAGTTCCTGTCCTCCTGCCGTCTTCTGTTGTCCTCAGGAAACGGATTGATGTTTCCTGATGATGAGGGAGGGGCAGTATGTGGGCTTCAAACTGGTCCTGGATAACAGTGGGAGACCTCCGTTGTCTGAATACTGAGACCAGAGAGTTGGTGAGATGCAGATCTTCTCTACCTCATCTAGAAACGGAGTTGGTTCAGGGAAAACTTTTCCAAAGACCAGTTCCATGATGTCATCGCCAAATTCTGCAATGATAGACAATAACTTTAATGACGTATTTTGTTTACAAGCAGCTTCAGGAAAGTTGTTTCTTTAGCTTTCATGTTTATAGTCAAGTTTGTGTTTGTTCACAAGTTCACTTTGCTGCAGTGACTTCATATTCTTACAAATGTAATAAAATAGTGACACTAAAATTATACAAATGACTCCTTATGAAAGGAAGCTCATTAGAGAGCAGTGCAGACAGACTTACTACATGCTGCAGCTGTTTTTGTAGGCCAGCTGCTGCTGAATTTGGGGAAAGTTATTCTGCACACATCCAGATCAGATGGTCGATTACAGAAAATAATGTAATTCAATAATTTCTAAACAGACTAAACAAGTAAAACATCAAATAAATCACTCTGCTGTCATCAGACGGAGTGATTCAGGGGTGAGGTGTTCTTAATGATGAGGGTGGCTGAAGTGTGTCATCACTCACTTTGGTCTGGTCCAGACCGTCTCTTTACTGGTGAGCCTCCTTCCTAGGTGACGTGAAGGTCCAACATCTGAACGTTCTGTGTTCCTTAGAGGAGAAGAAAAGTAACATTAGCAAGCTGGCTAAATAGTTTTTTACTAGCATCTCAAGGCCTTGGAGAAGCAGCTCTTCACTTACCTAAACATCAGACCAGTTTGTCCCAGCTGAGCTCATCAGGGCGTTAGTCTGACAGCCTGTCAGTGAAACACGGCTCCAGACTTCTGGATGTGGACTCTAAAAAGCAAAGGAGCATTTTTACTTTTGTTTTAATTATTTTACAGCCGATTTTATCAGCTTTCCGATGCTCACGCTCATACAGATGGTGAGCTTTGCTGCGTCTGACTGATGCAGAGTTAGTTTTTATATCTGCAGTGAGACAAAAAACTAACCTCACTCCACTCAGAGATCGTTCTTTAAAACTCTATTAAATCCACTGTGTTGACGCACTTTAATGACTGTCACGCTGCATTTTAGCTGATATGGGACTTTATTTGCTGGATGCTAAGATTACATCACACTCACGTAGAATAACACACAGGCTCTCTGCTGTTACAATCAGTGGGAGGTTATCATCTGGTGTAAAAGAAGGCGTTGATCAGAAATCACGTTTTATTCCACGAAAATCGGCCAAATCCACATTAATCTGGGTGCTAACTTTACTAGCACACTGTGCTAGCAATAGCAAGCCGGATGCTAACGCTTTAGTGCTGCTAATGCCCGTAAATCTAAAGTAAAGTTTGTCGACATTTTAGAGTTATATGAAGCTTACCGCTCTGCTGCTGTGTCCCGTCGCTGCCAAATTCAGATGGAAATGACTCCTTTTAGATAGATGAAGCCCTCAGTACTTACTAGCCTGGAGACACGAACGAACGAACCACGCGCGCGCACACACACACACACACACACACACACACACACAAACATACACACACTACTTTTTCTTCTGTTTTTTTAGCAGTAGTGTCATCAGCTCCTGGGTTTAAATACTGCCACACCACCCTTCCTTAAAACGAGGAACAGTTTTGAGCTGTGTGTGGCTAAAATAACCAGACATTCTGCATTTTTCCAATAGGACTACAAAAAATCTTAGCGAGAAGAAAAAATGGCGGATTGGCTCTGTGTTTAGCCGAGGGCCATTACCATATTTGGTAGTTACCCTGACGAAATAAATTACTGATGTAATAGATAACTTGAAAAACTGAACGGGTGGACAAATATGCCCAAAACTTAATTATTAAATATCTAAATAGCAACTCCAGTGAATAATATAAGCCTTTTTGCTCACTTAAGACACTTAAAATGTGAAACACACCGTGTTAATGGATAAAAAAGTGGGTTTTTCATGTTATGTCTCCTTTAAAAGATTGCCAATTGTATTAGCAACTGAGAACTGTCCGTCTCGGAAATGCCTCGACCTAATGCTGGTACCAGAAACGTCACTGTTCGAAACCGTGAATTTAAGCGCTTGGACCAGTATGTGACGGATGTCAGCTTCTGCATGCCGTGTCAGGGTACTAGTGCAGCGGGCTCCTGTTTCCGAAAGGTTGCCGAAGACATTCATCATCTTAACAGTACACACCATAGCGGGGTCGAATTTGAGGACAATCTTTTGTGTGAATAGACGATAGTTGGTCATTAATAGACCTGGGCGGTCTCGGAGTGTGATACCCGAAGAGGGCCCAGGTTCATACAGATGCGTTAGAGGAAGCTGAGAATGAATCTCAGCTGCTGTCAATATCAGAACGATGCAAGCGACTAACAAAACATATTGTGTCAGAGCTGTAAATGGGAACCAAGGATGGTTTAGATTACAGACTGGCGTGGCCTTGCGAGGGTTCGGCGCAGGTAAGCGCTCTGGAGGGCCCTCGGTCGACGTGCAGGTGCAGTCAGAGAGATCTGGGTCAACCACATGACTGGTTCCTTCGACGGGCTGCCACAAACGCATCTGCCAAAGAAACTGCCTCTGCTGCGTCCCTTGGATTACGCTCCTTGATCCAAACTTGGAGTTCTGGCGATAACATTCTGAAATACTGTTCAAGGATTATTGTTTCATTAATTTCATCAATGGTCTTACCTCTGGGTCTGACCCATCTCCCATAGAGCTCCTTTAGTCTCACAAAGAGTTCTCTGGGGGACTCATTTGGTTCAACTTGAAGAGAACGGAACCTCAGACGATAAGTCTCACTGCTTATTTCATATTTCTGCAAAATAGCAGCTTTAACATGATCGTAGTCCATTGATGCATCCACATCCATATGTACATAAGCACTTCTGGCTTTACCCATCAATAGTGGAATCAAATGGAATGCCCAGTCAGATCTCGGCCATCTACATGCACATGCTATTCTTTCAAAAGTTATAAGAAAATGCTCAAGTCATCCTCTTCACTTAGCTTTTGCAATTTTGGTTCTTTATAGGAAGGATGAACAGAAACCGAGTCACCTGATTTTGAACAGCGTGGTGCAGGCTCCGGTTCCACCTCATCCCAATCAGCATACTCATGAGGCCCTCATGGTCTGCAGGCCCCAAACCTGCAGAGAAGCGGGCGTGGTCTTGCTCTCCATGTAGCAAGCCAGCAGAGGTTTGGGCCTGAAACTCTTGCTGAAACAGACTGAACTGGTGTTGAAGATCTTTAAATCTTTGATCCTGGCATATAATCTCCTTCTCCCACTGTACCTCACGGGCTTCCTGTCGTCCAATGTGAGCTTGAAGGATGCCAGCCAGGTCTGATATTGTTGGCTCTCTGCAATGATCCTCCTCTTCAGCAGCAGCTCCACAGTCCTGACTCCCATCCTCTGTCTGTGCTTCTCTCTCTAAAGGGGCTGACTTGATTTTACCAGATTTGGTTCCCTTCATTGTAGATTTGTCAGGATAAAAGAAAAGAAAAAAAAAATTGGGAGAATCTATTTACCAATGTCCTTTAACTGGAAGATCCCACCTCTGCCACCAATTGTCAGGGACCGAGCAGTAAAACTCCAGGACAATGGTTTAAAAAGAATATCTTCTCCATTTATTTCATAATTAATTAACCAAAATCAAAACAAAACCGGGCCCAAAGGAAAAAATGGCCACAAAAATAAACTTAACTAAAAGTAACAAGCAAGACTCTCTCAAAACTGAGACACACTGGGGAATTTATACACAAAGGCTAGCCTACAGACAACGAGGAGGGGAGAGACAAGGGAAACACTAAGACAAATAGTAAATAAACCTAGGAAACTAAGTCAACAAAATATAACTACCACAAAAAAAGTTCAACTAATACATCCTAACAAAATCTGGTAAACTCAATAGAGCTTCAGAACGTCTGGTTTCTGGTTTCTTCATTATCACGCTCCCTGCTTCCAGGAGCCAGATGGAATGTTCCACTTCCTGCATGGAGTTACACTGGGCGTGTCCCCTCTCTCTGCCAGTTCATCCAATCTCAGAATACAAATGAAAATAGTTAATGATCAAAAAACTATGTGTAAGATAAATTACTGAATGTGTGCACCCATTAGTAATCTTACAATATTGCAACAAAATGAAATAATAAACCAGCGTGTGGAAAAAAGATATTTAAATAATACTAACACTGAGAAATGGCTGGAGGAACCTCCACAAGGATCTAATTCTACAACCAAGCCACACTCAGGTTTGACAGGTGTCGGAGGATCTGCCTCAGAAATGCACAGAACTGACTCACGTTCTGTCGAATCTTTCAACAGATCAAGAAGTGCAGCACCCAGAGCATGATTTTTTCCAGGAGATTGGCTCCCAGAATCAGTTCTCAGCCTTGGGGCAGGACTGTAGTCCTTGCAACGACTACGCAGTGAGTTCTGGCCTGAAGGAGCGTGGCTCTCACCTCTGTGAGGCGACTCTCTCCTGGAGGAGTATGATGGACTCTCCTTTTTTCTAAAGGAAACACGATGTTTATCACGACCAAGTCGTGGTGACTTAGGGTCGTGGAGGGGTCAGAGGTCTGTTAGAATTCTGAGGCTTGTTATTAGGAAAGCCTTGCGGCTTGGAGTTGTTATTGGATTTCTGGGCCTGTCGTTTAGCACCATTGTAGCGGTTTTTATTTTTGCGAGTCCCTGATGCAGTCCCTTCGAGTCACAGCGCGGAGGGGTCTGCCTCCGAAGGAGCGTGCAAAATCTTACTTGAATCATTAAACCGTCTAAAGGCACAACTCGCCATACTCCTGAACTCTTCCATGGGTGTGGTTTTAGTGTCTACCACACCCATGTAGGGGCTATACTAAGCATGTAGATTCTCAAGGAAAATCTCCTTGAAACCTTTTTCATCTTCAAACCCCTCCTTACATTCCGTACCGAAGTACGCATCAAAGAGGTGTAGATAGAAGGCTTGTGGGTCTTCAGAATGACCCGGTTTGACTGACAAAGCTAATCGTAAACCAGCCTCCTCAGCATCATAAGTGTACTCTTTTTGAATTGTAGCTTCCAGCCAGTTGTAATCATTTGCAATCGCATTATGCTGGCGATCGATGAACGAACATTGGAGGTTAACCTTATCAAAAAGATCTTGTCCTCCAAGGTCATTCCCGGACATCTTTGAAAGTGATGCTGGAGGTCACTCAGGTACGTGTCAACCGGGTATGAATTACCTGGTCGAGGGTTGAATTTCTTGACACTACAGGACATCCTGTAGATGTCAGCCATAGACACAGGTGAGTTCGGTTGGGCTGGCTGGAAAGCTGGCACAACCATCGCAGCAGCACCAGCAGGTGCAGCAGGAGGGTATTGTTGTGCAGCCAGAAGGTGTGGCTGGGCTGCAGGCACATATGGATGCACTGCAGGTGGGAATTAATAAGCTTGAGGTGGATATTGATTAGCTGGAGGTGGAGCAAAATGGCCTGGCTGTGGCCCCAGATGGGGTAGCTGTGGAGCTAGCGCTGGCTGAGGAGCTAGTCCCACCACAGCAGCAGCAGGTGCAACCCCATTAGCAGCAATAGCAGCGTGTGGAGCAGCAGGTGGAGGAGGTGGAGGTGGTGGATGAGATGGAGCAGTGGGTGGAGGAGGGGCTGGAGCAGGTGGTGTCGGGGGGAGTAATGGGGTCTGCCTTTCTCCCCTGAGTGCCGAAATCTCTGATTTTAAATAATCAATTTCATTTTCTTGTTTTCTTACCTGATTCACATCAGCAGTGAGACTAACCCTCAGGTCATCTGCCTCCCTCCGAGCATAAATTAGTTCATTATCTGCCCTGATTTTCTTCTCCATCAATACTTCATTTTCCCTCCGAGCTTCATTCAGCTCCTTCCTGTCCAGATCCTCTTCAGAGTCCGAACAGCAGTCTCCTTCTCTTGTCTTTTGTTCAGAAAGTGCTCGCATAGAACTTTGTGTCTCCAGATGAGCAGTAACCTCTTTGTCCCAGAGATGGGCTAGTAGGACAGCAAATTCCACCAGGTTCTCTGTGCGGGCTGTTTGTTTTACCTTCTCACCT